GTGTTGAAGCTTTGGAGGCATTATTTGTTTGGTACGGGATTTGAAGTGTATAGTGATCATAAGAGTTTGAAGTATATCTTTGATAAGAAAGAATTGAATGCAAGGCAGAGGAGATGGTTAGAAATTCTGAAGGATTATGATTTTGGTTTGAATTACCATCCAGTTAAAGCAAATGTGGTAGTTGATGCATTGAGTAGGAAATCTTTGCATATATCGATGATGATGGTAAAAGAGTTGGAAATGATTAAGCAATTTCGTGATTTGAGCTTAGTGTGTGAGAAAACTTCTTACGGCGTTAAGCTTGGTATGTTAAAGCTTACTAGTGGTATTCTTGACGAGATTCGAAAAGGGCAGAAATCTGATTTGGGTTTAGTTTATCGGTTGACTTTGATCAATCAAGGTCAAGGTGGTGATTTTCGGATTGATGAAAATGGTATCATGAGATGTCATGATAGAGTTTGTGTTCCTGATATTGTTGAGCTGAAGAATAGTATTCTTGAAGAAGGGCATCGTAGTGGATTGAGTATTCATCCGGGTGCTACTAAGATGTATCAAGGTTTGAGGAAAGTATTTTGGTGGCCTCGTATGAAGAAGGATATTGCCGAGTTTGTATATTCTTGTTTGACTTGTCAGAAGTCAAAGATTGAGCATCAGAAACTGTCAGGCTTGATGCAACCATTGTCTATTCTCGAATGGAAATGGGATAGAATATCTATGGATTTCGTGTCTGGTTTACCTAGGACACCGAGTAACTTTGAAGCTATTTGGGTTATTATGGATAGATTGACCAAATCTGCTCACTTTATTCTTGTGCGAATGGATCACCCGTTGGAGAGATTAGCAAAGTTGTACATTGAAAGGATTGTCAGTTTGCATGGTATTCCGTCTAGCATTGTGTCAGATAGAGATCCGAGGTTTACTTCGAAATTTTGGGAGAGTTTGTAAAATGATTTGGGTACGAAGTTTCGTTTGAGTTCTGCTTATCATCCGCAGACTGATGGTCAGACTAAGAGGACGATTCAATCACTTGAGGATCTTTTGAGAGCTTGCGTGTTGGAGAAGGGAGGAGCTTGGGATATCTATTTACCTTTGATTGAATTTACTTATAACAAAAGTTTTCATTCGAGTATTGGTATGGCACCGTTTGAGGCATTGTATGGTCGACAGTGTAGGACGCTATTGTGTTGGTATGAGTCAGGAGAGAGTGTTGTGGTTGGACCCGAGATAGTCCAACAGACCACTGATAAGGTTAAGATGATTCAAGAGAAGATGAAGATTTATCAGAGTCGTCAGAAGAGTTATCATGATAAACGAAGGAAAGCACTGGAGTTTCAAGAAGGAGATCACGTGTTTCTTCGAGTTACTCCCGTGACTGGTGTGGGTAGGGCATTGAAGTCGCGTAAGTTGACACCGCATTTCATTGGTCCTTATCAGATTTTACAGAGGATAGGAGAGGTAGCCTATCGGATTACATTACCGCCATCGCTTGCTAATCTTCATGACGTTTTCCATGTGTCTCAATTGAGGAAATACATTGCAGATCCGTCTCATGTAGTACAAGTGGATGATGTACAGGTGAGGGACAACCTAACTGTGGAGACATCACCTATGCGAATTGAGGATCAGGAGTTAAAGCAGCTTCGAGGTAAAGAGATTGCTTTGGTGAAGGTTGTTTGGGGAGGACCGGTTGGTGGAAATGTGACTTGGGAGCTTGAGAGTCAGATGAGGGAGTCTTATCCCGAGTTATTCGTTTAAGGTAATTTTCGAGGGCGAAAATCTTTTAAGTGGGGGAGGGTTGTAACCCCCCAATTTTTAATAATTAATTATTTATATTAATTAATTTATTTATTGGAATTATTTTAATTATTTGAATTATTGGATCAATTATTTATTTTATTGGTGAGATGATTGATTTCTAGAATTAGTGAGTTAAGGTAGTGTGTGAATAGTAAGTGAATTGGGTTAGGCCCAATAACTTATAGTTAAGGTTTTAGAGGGGAGAAGTTAGTAAGAGGAGAAAGAAGAAGAAAGAAAGGGGATAGAAAACATAGAAGAGTAGAAGAGGAGAAGAAAAAGAGCAAGAGGAAAAGAAGAGTGGAAGAGAGAGAAATTCAGAGTTCAAGCATTCAAAGAATCAAGAATTCTTCCCAAAGAAAAACCTAAGGAAAGGGTGGGCATTCTCTCATTATTGGGATTATGGGATAATGATTAATGGGTAGAAGATGTTTAGGGAAAATCCTAATTTGGAATTGTGTTTTAATGGTTAATAAGTAGGAGTTTATGTAAGAAAAACCTATATATCTCTCATGATTTGAGTGAATTTTTTATTGTTAAGAATGCCCTAACATGGAGGGATTGATTATGGTAGCAAAGAGGGGAATAGTTGGTGAAAATACACTTTTCTGCACAATTTTTCGAAAACACACAGTGAGCAATCAATTGCACTAAGATGTCAATCGACTGCACACTGAGAAAAACTGTTGGAAGCTGAATTTTTAGCTGAGCAATCGATTGCACCTAGATGTCAATCGATTGCACACCAAACCAATAGCTAAAATACTGAAATTTTCAAAGGAGCGATCGATTGCACCAAGATGCCAATCGATTGCACCATAAAACAGTAGCTAAAGTGATGAAATTTTCAAAGGACCAGTCGATTGCACCCTAACTCCAATCGATTGCACTAGCTGAAACGTAGAAAAATCATGTTTTTAGAGGGTTGATTACATAGAGTCTTTTGTTAACTAAACCTTAACAAAACATGGATAAATTGAGATGATTTATTGATTATTTACTTGAGTATTGATTGATTATAAACCTTCGGTTGGCTATTGAGATATCAATTGTTGTTTAACAAGTTGATTTTGTATTGAGTATTGAATTCAATGATTTGTAATGGATTGATTGTCCTATGTGTAATCGTTGAATTGTGATTGAATCTAATTGATTCTTGTGCATTACTTGATAAATGCAATAATGATGTTGAAAGTATGAATACTTTGATGTTTATAAAATGTGTTGTGCGTGTGCAATCATGATATAAATCTTGTGTGATGAATTATTTGAGAATGCATGGGATTAAGATGTGATAACGGTCTTAAGTGCGTTTGGTTGTTGATTGCATATGCATCATTTGTTGTCAAGAGGCAATGCTTGCTAGTTTCGTGGAGACTAGTGACTTGTCCCAAACCTAGAAGGGTGGGTTTGAAAGCCTAGAGGACGGGCTTTTGTTTGTTATTGGTCTAGAGGACGGACCCGGTTTAAATGTAAAAACCGGAAAATAATAACAAGTGTTGGTACCACATGGCATGAGTTGCATTTGAGTTGCATTTGAGTTGCATCGAGTCACATGGCATATATGTCATTGTTATATGAAAGTATGCATATGTGTATGACTTGTTGAATTGGGAGTTGTGAATATATGATTGTTATATGAAAGTATGCATATGTGTATGACTTGTTCAATTGAGAGTTGTGAATATATCATTGTTATATGAAAGTATGCCTATGTGTATGACTTGCTGAATTGGGAGTTGTGAATATATGATTGTTATATGAAAGTATGTACATGTGTATGACTTATTAAATTTGAGATTTGTGAATGTACGATTGTTGAATGATATTGGTTGATGAAAAATTGAAGTGTGAGAATATTGGTGTTTGTCCTGACATGCTTTACATTATTTATTATCTTATGATTTCAATATTGATGTGAATTCTCACCCTTCTGCTGGAATGATGTCCTATCTGACATCGTGCAGGTATTAAGAGTAGAGCTGCTTGCAGTTGCGTGGTCGTTGTTGGTGTAGCTATTTAGTATTTTAGTTATGTTGGATCGAGTCATGCTCTGGTCATGTAACACTGGGATTGATGGTTTATGTTTTAGAGATACTTTATGTACTCTACACTATGTTTTTATATTCATTGGAATATTATGATGTTGACCTTAGTGCCTAAGTAATGTTGAATTATGTGATGAATACAAATATTTCTGTTAAGAGAATTATGATATAAATTGAATCCGCTGCTACACGCGAAGTAAAATTTTGAAAAGCATGATTATTTATAAAAGTGTTAATGAGCATGACAGGTGTTTTTGATGTTTTAAAAATTATGTGTGACACCCTTGTGTGAATGCATGATGATTTACTCTGATTATTTATATATATTTCGTGGGGTTTAGAAGGGTGTTACAATTCTCACTGTCATACTCAGTAGGCATTTTATCACTATCATATTCCTCTATGTCACATAAACCTCTCAAATTGTCCTGATTTACCTCACCATCATTATCTTCACCTACATCCCTAATAATGACCTTTTCCTTTCCTTTCCCCTTCCTTTTACCCTTCCCTTTCCCTTTCCCCTTACATTCCCCCTTACCTTTCCCCTTCACTTCATCCTCATCAATTGATATCTCTCCATCAATACCTATGTCATTGTCTGAGTCTTCAAAATTAACATTCAAAGCACTGTCATCACTTCCATCTTCTTGGTTACAGTTAACTACCTCATCTTGTTCTTGGTTACAGTTAGGGATGGCAAACAAACCCGGGCCCGCCCACACCCGCCCGGGCCCGCCCCGAAATTAACGGGGGAAATCCGATTTAATTGGGTGCGGGTGCGGGTGCAGGTAGACACTAAGACCCGCCCGCACCCGCCCCTGCCCCGCCCCAAATAATATATTTTATTTTGATTTCCTTATTTTATTTATTTTAATATTTATTTACTAATTATACTTTTAATTAAGTTATTAATATTCTTATTGCAATTAAAATAATAAAATTAATCAAGTTAATATTCATTTATTAATTAAAATTTTAATTAAATAATTAATTAATTTATTAAAATAATCAATTTTTAATTAAATTACTAATTTTTATTATAATTAAAAAAATAATAATTTTTTGCGGGTGGGGGCGGGGGCGGGTCTGTTACATGGAAGCGGGTGCGGGTGCGGGTATAGTTAAACCCGCCCCCGACCCGCCCCATTGCCATCCCTAGTTACAGTTCAGTCCTTCATTGGTTTCATCCCCTCCAACATTCATCCCTACATCCACATTCTCCTCCATTTCACAGGTGGTCCCCACATCATCCATATTGTTACAGTTTATCTCCTCTTGACCAACCTTCATCTCAGTTTCAAAGTTGGTCCCCACATCACCCACATTTTCCTCAATTCCAACATTATCTTCAATCCCAACATTCTCCTTAACTTCATCAACTCTTGTCCCCTCTTCCACCACATCTTCTCCCAGTGTGGTCCCACATTCATTACTTCCCCCTTCATATACTTCACCAACCACATCCTTAGCTACTGTGGTCTCATCCTGATTATTAACCATAGCAGGCCCTTCACCACACATATATTCACCCAATATGCTCACATGTGATAGTGAGAGTATGGGCTTCTCAATAACATCAGGTTCAGATACATGATGTGTAACATACAGGTGGCATTCCCCAGTTAACACTACAATGGTTCTCATCCTATCAGTCCCCTTATCATTTTCTAACTGAACTATATCATTATCAATCATATCATCATAATACCACAACCTATCTATAGTAGGGTAACCTAACTCTCTTAACTTGTCCAATATTTCAAAGTAACTCCAATAATCAGGATCAACATTCCATATCTCCTCTAACCCTACATAACCTAACTTTGTAAAATTTACAAACTCGCTAGAAAACTCACCAGAATGATGAACAACACACTTAAACCTAATCTCCATGACCTAATCAACCTACATATAGTATCAGAAGTACTAAGCAAGTTAGGTATAAAAGAAATTTAATATTTTTTAAATCGTATTTGTGCAAGTTCGTACCTTAGGGTTTTATGTCCAGACGAGTGAAATAATGAAGTTCTTCTTCTTCGTTCTTCTGCAATGAACTCCGTCTTCAAAGAAGCGTTGTTGTTGTACCTTAGGATTTTCTTGTTGTCGTAAACGTCACTATCTGAACCTTGTCTTCAAACAAGTGTTGTCGTAAACGTTGTCTTCAAACTAGTGTTCTTCTTCACAATGTAGTTGTTGTCTTGTCTGAACCTGAGCTTTCATCCAACAATGTCTACATGCCCTAACACGCTTCATCTCTTTAAAATGAATGTTATGTATAATACAAAATCCACCTCATCCATTAAAGTAATTATAGAATATTCACCTAAGTCATTTAAACTACTATACGTAACGGAGTATAAGTTAGTGGACCATAATGTAACGTTTTTTTCTTAGGACCAAAGCGAAACAAACATTAGAGTTAAGAGACTAAAAAATGTATTAAGTCTTATTTTATAGTCCCAAAAATTATATTTTAATTAATGAAATGTAATTACATAATAATTAATAATCACATTTCAATAAAACCGTTCAATGAAATATTTACGTTATATTTTTAACTTATATATTTTTTTTAATTCTATTTTTTTATTTTAATTTCCAACCACGTTTATTTTTCTTCTTCTAAATGAATTTCAACATATCTAAATTAATATTTGTTTGTTTTTAAATTTTTAATTATAATAATTAAATTGATATTAAATTTGAATTAAATAAATAAAAAATCTATATATCTGGGTCGAGTCAGGGTTATTTATAATCAACTACAATTAAAAATGGGTTATTTATAATCAACTACAATTAAAAATAAAAACTTATGTCTGCGAACATTCATTAAATCCTACGTGACAATTTGATCCAAAAATAATAATTAATTTTATTTATTTCGGCTTGTTATTCACTCCCAATAAAGATGTCAATAAAGATGCTCTTAAAAGATTTGATATAGATTTTGATCGATTTTCCTCTAAGCCGTCATGACAAAATTGAGATGACGACCCTAATATTCAAATACATTAAATTTCTCTTTAATATGTGATCATTGTTATTAATTACACACTTTTTAAAGATGTTCTTTATTTACAAAAAATCCATTCAAATTATAAATAATAAAAATAAAATACAAGTATATTTTATAAGTGCCCTTAGAACTTTGTTTAAGCAAACAATTATAGGTATATTGTATTCATTTTTTATGTTTCAAAATTGTATCAGTTTCATATATACTCCATAACTTTTATTGTGGACTTTTTCTAGTATGGCCACATTTGGAAACACAACATCTAGAAAAAAAAAAATTGAAAGCTAAATAAAGCAAGAAGCACATATCTTAAAAAAGAATGCCGTGTTTGGGAACACAATCTAGAAAAAGGCAGTGTAGGCAGTGAAAAGCATAATTCATTACTAAAAAAGAGGACAAAAAATTAATTGTACAACTACAATTAGGTGAAACACTCGAGTCTCCAAAAAGGAGAACATATATACTCCTTAAGTATATAATCTTTCTGAAGAAGGAAAAAAGTAAAAAAGAAAACAAAGTGCACCTAAAATCCAACTAAGCCCAAAATTAACCACGGATGGGCAGCCCCTATAAGTTTCAATCATTTCAATTGTCTCTCTTTGGCCTCCGACGTGGAGCGGAGGGGTTGGCTGTTTCTTCCTTTTCTTTGTTATCTTCATTCTCTTCGCCAGCTTGTTTACTGGAAGTTTCTGTGTTGGTCTTCTTCTCCACATTAGCCTCCACATTAGCCTGCAGAAGATGAGGTTTGGTTATGAGCATGAAAGTTAATGAAAAATACCACTAGAAATTCATGAGCCTGAAGAAAATGAGCATGACAAAAGTTTCTGTACTTACAGGTTTCTTTCCACCGAATATGAGCCTGAAGAAGATTGACACAAACACAATCACAACAGATACAATAATTCCAATAGTCAGATTTGGTTGCTTCTCCCCCTTTTCAATAATTTCCTGCAGATAAGCATAAAGTATAGGTCATAATCCAGTTAGTGAAACATAATGATTTCATTGATTTGAAGCTTTGGTACTTACAATAATCTTCTCCTTGTGGCCACTTAGGAAGGGAATGTCTGCTATCTTGTACAAGAGATCGAATGCCTTCTTCTGCAAGGTAAAAAAAATTAACATCAAACATAAGAAAGAAGATGAGGCCTATAAGAGAGAAATCGGAGTAAACGGAAGAATCTGTATTACCTGGATGCCAGCAATACCCTCTGACTCAGTTGCTGCCGCAGCCGCGGCCTCCTCTTCAGCCTTTTGTTTCTCTTTCTCAATGTTAAACTTGGGTTTCCATGTAGTTTCCCGATAGGACTCGGCAATCTTATCATCTTTAGCTATCAGAACATTATCAAATAGGATGCCATCTTGCATTGTCCAAATTTCAATGCCAATAGCAGCAATAGGCTCAAAGTCTGGTTTCGCAAGTTCAAAGTACTCTGGGTTTGGAATCTCCTGAGGCTTCCAAATACCCTTATAATTAGGGTTTTCAATGTAGGGGGCACTCCATTTTCCCTTATAAGCTGGGTTGCTCTTGGTTGGCCTCTTCCATTCACCACAACCAGGGGCTGCTTCACACTTTGGGTTTTCAATTTTGGGAGCTTCCCATTCACCATCCTCCTCATCATCCCAATCTTCAGGTTTTGTTGCTTCTGGGTCATCTACTTCTTCTGGCTCGTCATCCAACCATCCTTCAGGTTTCTCAGCTTCTTCATCAATAATTTCCCTAGGTGCATCCTCATCCCAGTCCTCTGGCTTTACAGCTTCTGGGTCAGGAATTTTGGCTCTCTCATCCCAGTCCTCAGGTTTCTTATCATCGGGATCTGGGATTGTCTTGGAAGGGATAAGGGCAGGTTCAAAATCTTCAGAAGATAAGAAATTTGCCTTTTTCTTTTCCTCACCGTCAATTAATATGCTCATTTCATTATCATCCTTTAGAATAGCAGTGTACACATGAGTCAGTTTGTCAGATGGGACAGAAGGAGGAAACTTGAGGTGGTGTTCAACATGCTTCCCAGTCTTGGGATTCTTATGCCTGAAGATAAAATGCACCTTGTTTGTTGCCCCACACCTATCTGGACCAAACATGATAGAATAAGGAGATTCATTGTCAAATCCCTTGGGTTTCCAACCACTCTCCTGAGTTTGAAGATATTTAATATATGCACCACCACATTCAAGGCCGTTTTGAAGGCGAGTCTCGAACTGAAGAACAACAGTTCCATCCTTAAGACTGACAGGCGCATCAAGCTCTTTAACTATAGCATACTTCCTTGCTGGTTCACTAACAAGAAGTCCAAAATCATCATGCCCTTCACTCTTTGAATGCTTCCATACACCTGAAACCCAAAATAAAAAATCAGAATACAAATCAAAATTTGTCTGACAATATATATACATATATTAAGCATGTGAGGGGAACAGATTCTAATTTGCAGCTACATATATGTTGGGTTTAAAACTCAAAGCTATCTCGTCCTTGCTAAAAAATTAAATATATGCTTCATTGCTTCACAATCAGCTGCGAGATTATAATCCCAGAATAAACAGAAATAATATGAAAGCATGGTCAGATTAAAAAAACTATTAAAGCCTTAGTTTCTATTTAATTACATTAAATACTATACATTTGACTAATAATTCAATAAACTTTCATCCTTAAGGTATAAGTGTATAATAATTTAAGTATGGCCATTCATTGTTCAATAGTTTTTTTTAAATTACAAGTTTGCAACATTGAAACCACAATAATTCTTAAATTATAAGTTTGCAAGATTATTCCTATTCGTTAAAAATTAAGAATTGGGGCCCGTATTCTAAACAGAAATCAAATGGGGACCCAAATCTAGCCTGCAATATTATATATACACGTATGAGCAGTTAGCAGTATAGTTATTGCACACTAGATCCAAATTGTAGTGCTTATATAATCTTTATAGACAAATGATGATAAATAATTACTGTTTATGTTAATTTCCAGAATCAACTCTTTCAGTACCAGACCTATATTATCTACCTATGCATAAGCTTAGAATGGATCACTAATAGCAATTAATTTGTTTGGGAATTGTATATTTTTGAGTTTGAATAACTTGATCTAACTTATGAGCACTTCCAATCTTGAGGACTCATCAACCATAACTGTATAACCGAAATTAGATTTTACTTGAATCTAACTGCAGTGACTCAATTATAAATGGAAATTCTCAACAAACAAAAAAGCCTACTCACTGAAGAAGTAGTAATCAACTTCAGACAAACAGTTAGGAAAATCAAGTTTGAAGTGAGAAAACAAAAATCAAATTACTTAAAATAGAAACAAAACAAAATCGATCTGCACAGTGATACTCACCATTGTATTCCTCCTTGCCAGATACGATCCATCGGTTGTCAAAATCCTCATCGAACGATTCATAAAAGATCTAAACACAAAAGTCTCAACTCAGAGATCCATCACACACAACAACAAAACAAAAAAAAAAAACAAAAAACAGCAAATCTTAATTACCGCATCGTCTACTTCATCGGAAGCGCGAACGAGATGAAATGAAGAGGAAGAAGCAACGAAGAAAAGAATCACCGCCAACAGCCCCATAGCCAAAGGGATTTCCTTACGATTCACCATTGTAATCTTCTTCAATCAACTGTCAAACCCTAACTCTGTAATAAGAAAAGTCTGATTCAGTTCTGAGATCTAAATAGACAAGGAGAGTGAAAGCGTGATACAACACTTACGCTTTCTATTCGACCTGTTTCAACCAATGATATTAACTGCCACGTGACATTACCCAATCATTTTTCGCCACGTAGCATTTTTGCATCACTTCTTTCTTTTATGTATCGCTGTAGTAATCAAACCAAATCCAACCAACCTACTTAA